TGTAACCCCTGATGCGTTTTCGATGACAGCCAGTCCGTCGTCCCTGTAAAGTCCAATCTTCCGTCTGTCAATCTTCTTAGAAAGTATGTGCAGGATGTAGAGTCCCACGAGGTCGCAAACTTCCGCACCGTCATGGCTGCCCATGGTCACGTCGAATAGTCCATCGTTGTCCTTTTTTACCCATGGTCAAGTATATATATATATATACATATATATATTATATATATAGATATATATATATTATATATAAATTTTAAAAATAATAAAATTATTCCCACATCAATATTTCCAAAATTTTTTACGTGGGCAGGAGTGATAATCTAGTAAATTTTTCTATGTGCCCTTTAAATTGGGAGATAAATTTGCAGCACTCTCGAGTCAAGGTAAAGACGATTTTAAGCAATTGCATTCTAAAGTTATTTGAACTTTTTAAAGGAATTCACTACCAAAATAACATTAAATAAACGATTTGTTAACTATTTCCAGAACTAAGACTTACGGACATGATTAATTGGACATTAAACTGTTGATCTGTAGTGAAAAAACATTTATGATTTTTAGGCCATCTTTTGAGCTCCTATTTTTTAGCTCATTAGCCATTTTGCCACAACATGCATCAAATAGGGTACACCTTGCCACCACTAACCAACAAGACATGTTGCATAAATGGCACGGTCAGTTAACGCAGTTTTGTAAAAAAACCGAAGGTCAAAATTTCGAATAGTACATCGGTGCTCATTAAAAATCGTTTTTTGTGTATTAATGAACATTCTATTAAGATTTTTGAGAGCTGTTTTACAAAAAAATTTGGAAGAGCTGTTAATTAGATTATTATATACAAGTGCTCGGTGTTAAATGAGTAGGGAAAGTCGAGGAGGCAATCGTTGTTGATGTTATACAGTATTTAGCATGTTACTATTTTTCTAATGGACGTCTTTGTAGATGAGTGTCTGACTCTTTGGATAGTCTTAGTGAGGAATTATTTTTCCCAGTTTGATGAAGAGCAGATCCAGAATTTTTCTAATGGGGGGTCCGGGGGCCACAACAGTTTTAGATTAGATGAGTATCACATAACATAATAACACTGAAATTTAAGTGTTTTCTCCATGTCTAATCAAAAAATTCGTCAAATGACGTAGTAAATAGCGTGAATGCAGCCCACGAATTTCACGTCTGCAATTGCCGACCATATTGCCGAGCCAGAATTGCTACAGGATGGCAATTTTTTGTCGATCTAGGCCTAGATTTCTTTGCTTCAAAAACTGCTTTGAATGTCAAAAACTTTTACTAAAACAGGCTATGTCCGACTGGGGGCGGGGGTTTGCAGGGTGTAGCAATTTTTTTATACAAAAAATGGCCTTTTTACCCCCAAAATAGGTTGTGACGAGGAACATAAAATTATGATTTTTTTTATTAAGATACCAATTTGAGTCCTATTACTATGTGATTCAATCATTATCACAGAGTTTGGATAGGGTTTGCACTGTGTTTTGGGGGGTTTGCGGGGTTTAGCAATTTTTTTAATATAAAAAATGGCCTTTTTGTCCCAAAAAATAGGTTGTGACGAACATAAAATTATGATTTTTTTTTATTGAGATACCAATTTGAGTCCTATACTATGTGATTCAATCATTATCACAGGGTTTTGATTGGGTTTGCACTGTGTTTTGCGGGGTTTGGCAATTTTATAAATATAAAAAATGGCCTTTTTGTCCCAAAAAATAGGTTGTGACGAACGGAACGTTATATTTTTTTTTTTACTGAGATACCAAGTGAGTCCTATACTACATGATTCAATCACCATCACAGAGTTTGGAGGGGGTTTGCGGGGTTTAGCAATTTTTTTATACAAAAAATTGCCTTTTTACTCCGAAAATAGGTTGTGACGAACATAAAATTAAGATTTTTTTTTATTGAGATACCAAGTTGAGTCCTATACTATGTGATTCAATCATTATCACAGGGTTTGGATGGGGTTTGCGGTGTTTTTTTGGGGGTATGCGGGGTTTTGTGGCATTTAGCAATACCCATTATTGTTCAGATAAAATCACTATTTGAACAGAGAGCAGCAGCTATTTAGAAGTGGAACACCATCACTCGGTTGTTGTTGGTAACTTTTTTTTCAGATGAAATTTTGAGTGTAGATTCTTTAGTGTTATAGACAATGTTTGATTTCCAGCATTTTCTGTGTGTAGCAAAAAGTACTATGCACTTTTTTGTTTTGTGTAGCAATTCCAAAATCATGCCTGATCCTACCAATGAACAGAACGAGCTGGAGAGTTGAACCACCTCGTATACTTTTCTCCAACTTCTATACCATCTCTCCCACTGTGGTAACCCTGATTTTTTAAAGCCGCAAGACCATAGGGCTCGATAGCGTAAACCTCATCTACAGGGCTACAGACTGAGAACTTGCCTTTCTAATGAAATTATGCAACACATATGGTACATACAGTAGCACAACTTTATCTTTTTTCCGGCTTTAATTCCAATTTTCAATGATAGAGCTGAATTTATTGGCTAGCATTCTGAATGCGTTTTCTGAAATTTGACGAGCTCTGCTATGCTGTTAATTGTAAATTTGTTTACTTTTCTCTGTTTTTACCTGAAATAAAATTAGTCTGGTCGTAAAAGTATATAGGGGACATACAAAAAGCAACATAAAAAAGAAGCCCTAACTTTAAAATAGATATTCCCTTTGAATTATGCAATGTTTTACCATCAGTATCTTACGACAACATTTGAATAGTTATCCTCTTTCTTATCCAGTAAAAAATATTAGTACACTGTACCATAAATCAACTTCACCAAGAAATTAAACATCATGTTTGGAAATGGTCTCATCAAATTCAAATTCTTCTTCAAAGTAGTGGGGGGGGGGGGGGGGGGGGGTTTATACAAAATAAGTTGTTGTTTCTAGGAATAGTTATTAACAGTATTAAAAAAGATAGCCAACACAATTTTAACTCTTTAAAATTTGATGAAGCATTCTTGAGTTATACTGTTATGTTTGCAATAAACACCAATCCTCATTCAAATTTGGTACCAACTAGGTATTCATGAAAGTGTAGTAAAATTCCTTATTGCAGTTTCCACTGCATTTAAAATGTTTTTAAAAACAGCAAAGATATATTAATATAGTAAATTTAGAATATTACCAAAAATATGGGCATGGGGTCATTTTATGGTAATAATTTTTTTTCCTGACCATCTAAAATCTACCCGTTGAGTAGTTAGATGATTGGAAAAAATTCTTGTATTTAAATTAAATTTGTTAATGAAAAGTATTGCAAGAATCATTATTTTTAACAATAATTTAAATAAATGCTAATGGAAACTTGTTTAAATTGGTACGTCACGTAGGCACTCCAACATGGGGTCGGTGGCCTCACTTTATCTGTACAAGGATTGGCTGATGAGCAATTCAGCTATCATATAGTAGAGACCTGTGGCATCACCATGGCCATGGTGTCTCATACTGAAAATGTCTTGCAATAGGTCAAATTCTATTTCAGTATGTGTTAACTGCTTTAGTTTATCTATTGGTAGGTATTAAAATAACAACATTAAAATAAGCTTTCTATATGGTATTTATTGCAAAATTCTATCATTTTAGGATTTTTTGTTATTATTATCATTAAAAGCTCAATTTATTAATATAACTTTGCTATTTGTGACCATACAAGATGCAATAAAAGCTGTATAAATAAACTGACTATTCTCTATCTGACAGTCTTTGTGTATCCTACTGTAATAGACAGTCTAGGGGAAAAGATATGGGAGTTTTAAATCTGATGAGTATTGCTGCTTTTATGCAGATTTAAGCCACTAATTGCATAAACCAGTATAATAGAGGCAGTAGAGTATATTGGCCCTAACGGCTGCCCATACAAAAAGGATCTATTAACCAATGAGCCGAGTACTCCTAGAGCTCCTGATAAGAGCTAATAATGTCAATGAGACAGACAATGTGGTATGGGGTGTTGACGGCTGCTAGGCTGCTACTGAGCAGAACAAAAGAAAGATAAGCCCATTGTGCTACTCGCTACCTGAGCTAAATTATGACATTCTTCTAAATAAACATTGTTGTACAGTAGTAGTTAAGATAGTATAATACATACTCCAAGTATTGAAATGCACGCCATCGTGTCGGGATTCAATATTTCGACATTAATTATGTCATCAGAAGTATCAAAATGCACGCCATCGTTTCGGGATTCAATATTTCGACATTAATTATGTCATCATCAGGAATCATCCTGACGATGACATAATTAATGTTGAAATATCGAATCCCGACATGATGGCGTGCATTTCATTACTTGTAGTATGTATTATACTATCTTATCTGAGATTAATCAGTGGACCTTTCGGTATCATAGTTAATTATAGTGAAAAGAACGTTCCTGTGACATCTGCCGTTACAACTGTTTCAGCTGAAAGAAAGAAACAATTATAGTAAGTTATATCCTTCTAAAAATAATTTGTAGTACAATACAAAGTAAATTATAGTGGAAAGAACTGATGACAACCAAAAGAACCAGTAGTAAACTACTAAAAATAATCAAAAAGAATAATCTGACATCATAGCAATTCTGAATTTTATGGTATCAGGTTGAATTTTCCTTATTTCAGAAATGGCTCATTGTGACACAGTCAACATTAATGTTATGGAAGAAAAGACTTCTTCCAATAGTCAAGAAGTGAGAGAAGAAGATCAAAATGGTAGGCATAAAACAAAAGTCAATATATTATACTGGGGTTGCAAGTCTAGAGATAGTTTAATTAATGAGGGTGCATACACAGAAATCTATTAGAATTAACCAGACTCTCTTTGCCTAAATAAGATAAAAAAAAAAAAAAGTATACACTGTACTTAATACTAATTCAGTATAAGGTATGGCAAGTCGTAAGGTGGAGAGTTTTGGGTAAATGTCATGCCCCTTTTTGACTGAATTCTATGATATCAGACTGAGTGTTTCTTTCAGGAAGGACTGCTTGTGAATCGGAATTTTCTGAAGGAGATGGTTTCAATAGTATGGAACAAGAAGTGGGAGAAGAGGATCAAAATGGTAGGCATTGATTTGGCCTAAAGACAAAAGTCAATTTTTGGTGATCGCTTCTCAAGCGGATCACCTCTTGTTATTGTCAAGATCATCTTCATCTTCTTTTTTTTTTGTTTGTCCCCTTTTTTCTTCGCACGATATCTCAAAATTGCTACGAGCTACGCACACGGTCGCTTCATCGATCAATTTGGCTTGGTCTGGATTAGTCACAGTAAGCTTTTCAACACGCTCAGTCATGCATGACGTTATCTACGCCCAATTTTGCGTTTTTACATTATCGATCATATCCTAACCAATTGCAATTTCGAAATTGTATTACTGTAAATGGGCATTAACTTTAATATAATGTTGAATGTAATTTACCCTAATTTTACGCGAGCGCTTCATAACGCACGCGTACGTGTGCGTCAAAATTTTAAAATGCTCGAAATCACTTTTTGACTAAATTATAGCACGTTTTAGGCCATTCTGAGCATTTCAACATTTTCTTAAATTTTCCACTACACGCGCACATTTTTACGCACGCAGCAGGTACGGAAGCTGAAAATTTTTTGTTTTTTTTACATGTTTTGGGTTCCTGACATTGTTTTCACAATCGTATGGACAATAGCAATATCGTACGTGCGCATCAAACATAGGGATGTTTGCGCACTTTTGTGCCGATATACATTGAAACTATGCTAAAATCAGGCCTATATTTAATCAGTTTATATCTCCATAGGATGAAAGGTGACCCCCAATTTTTATTACATATTCTGAAAGCACATAAGTTGTAAATATGATTTTATAGATCATAATGGCTGATCGGACATTGTGACGTCATCATATTGCCATCTAAATTCAATAAAACTGAATTATACCGATGACGTCATTTTTGAAAATACGCATTTGAGTGTATCTCGCTTATCCTTGGTCGATCGTCTTCCAACTTAAAGTATGTTATAGCTGAGACAATTATCTTTTGTCGTGATGCGATTTTCTCGTCCAGGATGCCACAACCACAAGAAAAGCAACAAAACCGCACACAATAATAATGATAAGTTCTTAATTAGGCTTTTATTAGGCTCTCCACCTCAAAGGAGAAAGAAAAGAAAACTCATGTGAAGCAAAACAGAGAGTACAATTCTTTTAACAACTCATCATGTAAAAGTAAAACATATCAGTATTACCATCACTATCATTGATGTTTAAACATCATCATAGCCAACAATTATGCATTCATAGAATTAAATCATAATGACATAGAAAAGTGCATAAGGTAACATCAATCTAAAATTAGGCTCTCTAGCAATAATCATAAAAAAAAAAACAATTTGGCCATCCAGACCTCCCCAACTGAACACTCATGGGTATCTAGTACCAATAATAATAACCTCAAATCTGAATATACTGTGAACCTCAACTCTGAATATACTGTGAACCTCAACTCTGAATATACTGTGCACCTCAACTCTGAGACCAGGTAGTAGCTTCCCTAACAGTCCCAGAGTAACCCAGTAGCAATGTTGATACACCGTAATTTATTCTCCAAAACTCAGTGGATTGCTGTCTATCCTCACTCGTCGAAATCTCACCAGCAATCCCGCTAAGCGGGCTACTGTTTACACTAACGTTTCTCAGATATCACTAAGCCTCGTAGATATACTCCATTATCAGACGTATTTAACGTAAGTGAGTTTCTTACTATACAATAACATAATATTAACCCTTTCACTGCCATCTTCGCATAAATGCGAACACGATCCCTCTGGTGTGAGTGCCGATTTCGCATAAATGCGAATAGGCTCACTGTACAGCCAGTGCCGTTTTCGCATAAATGCGAACGGGTAAACGTCTCCTACAAATCGACCGCTAAACGGCTGTAGCAAGCCTAACCCACACATATTTTTTATCGGTTAGAAAGCTAATGAAATTCTGAAAATTTTGATGCCAGTTTTGCTATGGGTTGTTTTTTGAAAAGTTAGAGTAATTTCAGTTTGAAAATCAGATATGCCGAAAAAACGGTATTCAGCTGAGGAAGTAATTTCAGCCGTGCTGGACGTCGATGGATCGGATTTAGAACCAGAAATAAATGCAGACGAAATAGGTTTAGGCCTAGGCCTAGACGATGTAGGCCTAGAGGAAATGGATATTGACGATGACTTGCTCTCGAATAGTGATGATCAAAGTGATGAAGATGCAGATGGGCCTAGGCCTATGTCTGGGCCTGACGATCCTCCGGATCAGAACAACGATGAAGTAGTAGTAGGGCCTAGGCCTTGTGCAGTAGGCTTAGGCTATAAATAATCAGTTATTTTTTTCATATGAATATTGCCTAGGCCTATGCCCTACATTGAGAGTCAACCTTGTCATTTTAATTTTAATTTCATTTTATTTTTAATAAAAATATTCATATGTGTAATTAATTTTTATTATTATAATTAATAATTATTAATTCCGTTACTCTTTGGTGCCGTAATAAATAATAAAAGTAATATAATAACAGTGATTCATAATTTTTACTGTTATTATTTAGAGGAGTATTTGTTATATAAGAAATATTATTTATATTTAAACATAATTTTAAATTACTTTTATATGATATTGTCCTAACGCATGTACTCATCTGTCTAGGCCTACTGTAGCCTATTTTTTTTAAGTCTGATGTACAATGCTTATTATCTACCGTATTTTTATTACTTTACTTATTGTTTCTATTTAAAAATTATTATTTGTACTGCATAATCAAACAAAAATTTTAACCAAAATCTATAGATTTCTATCAGCACAATATAAGTTATCTACATTTTTGCTCTGTTGCATCAGCTGTCAAACTCTAATTTTCTTGCTGGCCCTATAATTAAAAAAAAGATTATTTTTTTTTAGTAATTGTTTTTTTATGATTTCGCTAATGAAATTTATGATTAGGTTATTTGTGTTCGGTATGTTATGATGTACCGGTACATTTAAAAAAAATAATATTTACATGGTCTGGTTTATATTTGACAATTCAATGTTCTTAGCCTACAAAAATGTTCTGCCCATAGTTTTCTATGCACAAATTTCAAATAAATGTGATATTCTCATTGATAATTTGTTTTCTTGTGGAAATCATTGTATTATATTGTGTTGCATTTTAGTAATT